TATATATATATATATGCATATATACGTGTATATGTATATATAGTTGTAAAATAATCTAGTGGCATTGAGTTCCCCAAAACCTTGGGAGGTCAAGCTCATTTCGCCGACAACGCGTGCTGAGCAGCTGGTCTTGAGAACCAGTGCGAAAAAGAACAAGAAGGGCAAGAAGAGGGTTTCCCGCAGCAAGGGCAACAAGAAGCGTTCCCGTGCTGTAACCTCACCCAGCGGACGCCGAAGGAGTTTGTTGAAGAAGCGACGGCGCTCAGCTTCGTTTGCCGATCCCGAGGCTACAGCAGGCCCTGATGAGGCTGAGAAGTTGGGCCATGAGCACGAGGCGGGCGAGGACGGCGATTGGGCTCCCGAGCCTGATGCTAAGGTTCTTGCAAGCAAGCCGTCCCGAAAAGGGAAGGCCAAAGCGACGAAGGCGGCATCGGGCGATGATGAGGCTGTCAGTGGCAAGCCGAAGCGTGCGGCCAAGGCCAAAGCAGAGCCCAAGCGAGCTCCCAAAGCGAAAGCCAAAGCAGCTGCGAAGGCAAACCCGAAATCCAAAGCCAAAGCAAAGGCTTCCCCCAAAGCAAAGGCCAAGGCCAAGGCAAGCAGCAAGCGTGCACGAACGACGGCGGCGGTTGAGTGTCCATCCCTTGAGTTGGATTTGCCTTCGGACATTGCGGGTTGGCAGGATACCAATGCAAGGCTGTTGATGATTAGTTTCGCAAGGGAGTTCTACGAGCATCGTCACGATTCAATTGCTCAGTTCAAGCTGCGGATTTGTGAGGTGTTGCCCGAGGCCACGAGGTATAAAGTGGCCTTGCTGAACAAGTACTGGACTCGATACTCTTGTGGGGTGACCATCAAGGAGACCAGGAAGGACATCACATCTTTCCACATCCCACACAGCAAGGTTTTGCCGAACCTTCGCTTGTGTGTGACGTTCCGTTGTGCACTGCTGCTAGCCCCCTGGTTGTGTATATATACAGTGATGTCACTTTGTGTTGTCATGTGTAGCCTTTCCGCAGAGCCGACCCCGAGGTGCAGTTCTTGGACATGCTCTTCCTGTGTGAGGATTGCCCGAACACAGGGCTTTCCTACCGCGAGTTGGGTGTCGAACACCTGGTCCAGACCAGTGTGGTCAAGGAGTTCATCGAAGCGCTGAAGCAAGACGGCCAGGAAGCTGTCGAGGAGATGGCCGAGCAGTGGGAGATGTGAGAATGGAGCACGCGGGCTCGAATTTTGGGCTCTGCCCGAAGGGCTGATCCTTTCGGGTGTGATGGTTTTGCTTGAGTGTGGATGCTACCTTAGGTGTGGCTGCGGTCCTGAGGTGGTATGTTAGCAAAATCAGTTTCATTGTTTGGTTCCCTGTATACTTAAGATGTACATCATATCTATCACAGAAGGGACTGACACAACGGGTATATATATATATACACATATAT